GTATGTGTGTATGTGTTTAAAACCCATGGCATCTTTTCTAACTAACACATTCATGTAGAGTGCATACTCGCACAGTCTTACTGATTTTAATGCAGCTGTCAAGAACTGTCCTTATGCACTTGCTTGCTGGTTTGCAGACTCACTAGAAAGATTTCACAGGACCAAATTATCCTCAAGCCTCATGCTTCTGTGGCTGGTAACAGTGGATTTAGATTGTGTGAGCTCTGTGGGATAGGTAGATGGAACATCAATGCAGAAAATGAGTATAGTTGACTCCATTATGTATTCAGGAGCACAGTGATATAAATGTGGAAAGAAAACATTTTTTAAATACCTTTTTGCACTTGAGAAAAGTGAGGCAAGGACGTTAGGAATAAGACTCTGTTAATACTATGCCACTGCATAGAAAGATGTGGTCAAGACTTCAGTAAGGTGCTGTTCAACTTCACTGAGCCCTTGAAGCCTCATCACGAGTTACATTATGAAGTTTCGTTGCAAAATTTATCTGTCTCTCCAGAATGTTGTGTCATTTAAAACTGCCTCCATCTTTCGTGATCTCTTGTAAGTACTCCAGAGAAGGAATCATATCTGTTTTTCACATGTTCTCCTTCTCCCACACTATTACTCCTTTCATAGTAGCTTATTGACTCTGATCTCTTGGAAGCTCTGCAAAAGAGCCAGAAAGATTTATCTTTTCATTACTGCTATAGCTATTTCTATTAACATGTGAATTATATTTACTTTTTAGATGCAATAAAATCACTCAAATAGTACTAAATTAACATCCTTGGTCTGAGAGAAACCCATAGAAGTCAGGTCTTTTAGTCAGATCTTTTAATAATCATACTAACTTCTGCAAAGGTGTACTGACATCATGCTTTAGTATTAGGCAAAGGTCCTTTCTTTTTGCATTATGCTTTACAGAAAGATCTCAAGGAGAGCTGCATTGCATATTTCTCAATGTCAATTTTAAAATTTTAGGATTTAAGGAATCAGCAGTATAAACTGTTTTAAATTATTCTGCTGAAGTCCAGTCCATTTCCTGCATAGGTCCTCAAGGGCCACTGAAATTTTGACAGAAATACAAGAAGCATTACATCAGGAACTCAGTGAAAGGGATGTAAAAAAATGCCTGAGAATTCCTGCTAACTGCAGACATTGACATGGTAAAAATATAACAGCATGCATGATTTGAGGAATGTAGGAAACCGTGTTTTGTTGTGTACTTAAGGTGTTAACCTGCAAGTTGTCATCTAAATACGTGGTTGCCTATCAGCTAATATGTGGGAGACTGTGCTGATTTTAGAATTCCTTTCACTATTCACTTTTCCTTCTGTTTTCCTTCTGGCTGTCTTGGGGAAGCTCCTGAGGAAGATCTCAGTCAGGGAAAATTTCTGTTTCTTTCCCTAGAAAATAGTATAATATGCAAAGTCCCATTGAATAAAGATTTTATCAAAATCATGGGAAGGCAGGATTACAATGCATGACTTTTGGAATGCCCAGTTAAATTCTTTCAGAAGCACATTTTGGCAAACTTCTAACATTCGTACACCCTTGGATTTTTATACCTACACTTAACAAACAGGTTGGGACAATGGTTGCAATATATAGCTGCTACATCCAGTATCTTTTTTATTAACCCCACTTCCCACTCCACCCCTTTAAAACTGAGCAGTACCAGACTTCTAACCACAGATACACCAACCCTCACAGGTACCTACAAGAACACCATCTACTGTACCTTAAAATCCTGCTGCTGGGAAATGGAGGCCTGCATTAAAATTTTGGGTTCTCAGGTTAATGCCACATTCACCTTCAGCTGCCCTTCTGGCATTCCTGAGCCTGGTGCACAAGCTGTCAGTGATTTCTATTCCCAAGTTTAGTATTGAAAAACAGTTGAAAAATACTGTTCATAATTGTGATGCATATCTTTGCAAGGCTCAGTGAATTTGCTGGTTGCATTGTGAAGGTGTTCAAGCACATTACTTTCTTTCACGTTAATGAATGTTAACATTCCAACCCTGTGTGTAGGATCACACACTGTTTTCAGTATCTTGAATCTTCCTGTCACTGAGTTACATTGGCTTTGTGTTGGGTATTGTAGTGATCTCAGGTAGTTGCAATAATTCTGAATTAACTAAGTAAAGTTCAAAATTAATCTTTGAAATAAAGATAAAATTCTATCTGAGACTTTCAGTAGCCTCTACTATTATAGAATGGCTCCAAATTTGTGTTGCATCTGCCCTGGCAACTCTCAATGTCATTGTGTCTAGTTGTTGTTTAGGGAATGTAGGCATCAGACTAACAAAATTTTGCCCAAGATCATTGCCAGAACATGAATTAGAATGAGTATTTCCGGTCCTAAATGATCATCTTGCAGCTTGAGGAGTAATCCTCATCATTCAGAAGTATACATGGGATTCTCTGTGGTGGAATGGGAAACTACTGAAACCAAATTACAAACTGGCATCAACAAACACCCTTGGCAGAAAAAGCAGCCAATTAAGGCTGGGCTGAATATTTTGGCCATGCTAATTATGCTTTGATTTTTTTCATGCCAATCAATATTAATTTATAAAAATGCATAGCTCTTTTTGAAGACTTTCCAGATTTATTTATTGGAGGAAAAAGCTGTTGTTTTCATGTTTTTGAAAGATTTGGGTAAATTTTTTTGGGCAATATGTGTGAAAGACAGAAATCATACTAATTAACCAGTTCAATATTTACATCATCAATACTCTCTTTAACTCAGAGAAGAGGAAAAGAAACATGTAACCTCTAAACTTTTCCCCCCAGTTTATAATCTATAGTGGCTAAATGGATAATTTTTGAATGGGTGTAATAAAACTTCCTCTTAAGCTGCAACACTCTATTTCAGGTTCAAGCTGAATCAAATTTTTACAGGCAAACTGTTGACCTCTAGGCCAAAAGTGGATAGGGTTGTAATGGAAATGCTGATGAGCCTTAATAAAGAAACTCTTCCAAATGTCAGTTTCATCTAGTACATGTACTGCACTATATTACACCTCTTACGTGTACTGTAAATGACACATGAACAAATCAAAATATCATCAAATACAACCAATGTATGTCACATTCCCGCAGAGATATGAAATAAGTGGTGAATGTGAGAAAATCTTCTACTGTAAAGTAAGAATACCATCTTGAAAGACCTCCTTCTTGCAGTACAATTAATTACTGAGTTCATTAATTAATGAACATATTAGCAAAAGAACACCATTACTGACCAGTGTAGTCCTGATATATTGCCAGGTCAATACACTATTGAACATGAAACAGGACCTTCCAGGGTTTTTTTTCCTCGTGACCCACAAACACATATATTATTCCTGCACGGTCAGCACTTCTTTGGTACCATTATATTTCATATTACTAATTCTTTTAATCACACATCCATAGAGCAGTGTTTTATAACCTGACTAATGAGTAATTGGACAGGTGACATTGGGACTGAGGCCCTGAAGTGTCAGGCGTAATAGAGCAGGATGTTTTTTTCCACACTAGGTTTTTGAAAGTAAAAGGTTATAAAGGAGCAGATAGGATAAGAGGAATAGAGGACTCTTGTAGCAGAAATTTGTCAGAGAAATGCAGATATTAAATGTATCCATGAACTATAAATGTCTTTACATTGTCTGATAAATTGTTTACATTTGTCTGATTCAGATAAATAAATAAATCTACCATTTAAAATAATTTTGAGGCTTTTTCATTGTCAGCAGCCAATGAGCTTAGTCAGGCCAAGCTAATTCTGAATGTAATTTTTTTAAAGTCACTACAGTTCAGATAATTATTTTCATTATGGAAAATATGTGTGAGTGTGTGTATTAATTCTTTAAGAAAGGCAAGAATCTTCATAATTCTTCAGTATCTCTGTGGCAATGCGTACCAAGAACCCTTCCCCCACCTTAGCCCCCAAGTAATCATTGATTGCATCTAAATCTATAGAGATATCTTTTCCTGGCAGCTCTGGTAGTTACAGTAGATTGTTAATCTGTGAATGATCAGAATAAGCCTCTCTGTCTCAGAAATCTCCATGCAAATTACATCTAAATGCATGCTATAAATTTATTAGTAGCAGTTTGAAGTGCACAGGTCATCTTCTACACTATTTAAAAACATATGTCTGTTATATTAGAAAGAGTCTGATCCAATTTATATTCACTTTTCTGTGGCTGTAGCTAGCCCTTGTCAAAGTAAACCTGTGTAATTTTTGAAATAATTCTAAAAAGGAAGATGAGAAAGTCTATTATTAAGGAAGGTGTATTATTAAGCATATTTGAGATCTCTGCATGGGACTGAGTTTTACCACTGGTACTTTTTAAACAGAGAAATACATGTTTAACAAATGAGGAGTGTTAAGAGGTAAAAGGCTATTCTAGATATTGGAGAAAGTGAAAGATGTAAAGGCAAGTTACAGGTTTTTTTAACCAGTCCTATTCTCGTACCTTTATCATTTTATTGTTTTGGGAAAACATAAAATCCATTACTTCCTTTTGCAGCAGAGCTGTGTCTTAAGTGAACCCCAGAAAATTTAAAACCAGCCTTTGGATTCCATGGAGGAAGGAGAAATATATTTGTAGTTTTCCTTTCCATATGTTTTTGTTTCCTAATTTTTGTCTGGATTTGAAACAGGTATGGTCCTATGGTAGGACGTCACTAGTAACTTTCTTCATGAAGGCAATATAAGACCAGGATATTTATGGAACCCCTACAGCATCATCATCGTACAAACTTTTTTTTTTTTTTCCCCTAAAGAAAATAGAGCAAATCTTAAAAATATTTTAGGAATGTATTCATCTCCATGGGACATACTGCCATATATTTTTGAAAGAAAATTAATTTCTATTTATAAAAGGAGCAAGGCGTTGAATGTTAGGCAGCTGGGTTTTGCTGTACAGTTAATATCATTCTACCCACCACAACAAATTTGTACAAGCAGGAAGAAATACATTAACATGTTTTTTCTGTTTCTTTTCCAGGCCATCCGCTGTACACTGGTAAATTGCACATGTGAATGTTTTCAGCCAGGGAAGATTAACCTGAGAACCTGTGATCAGTGTAAACATGGCTGGGTGGCACATGGTAAGAAATATCTATTCTGGGATTGTTTTTACAATTCTTTCCATCTTTACCAGTATCTTGAAATAATAAGAACTGTATTGATACAGACAATAGTGGTAGAGATTTGTCTACCTATGCATGTGTGCACAATCTGGGTTTGTGCATGTGTGTGCATGCACATGCTTATTTTACAGCAATTTAGAGTGAAAAAAGTTAGAGTCTGTTACTCTGGCAATAGCTTCAAGTACCACTGCTGTTCAAAAGCTTGTGTACAGCTCAAAAGAATATTCTAGACTCCAGAAAAAAATGTAGTTCTAGTCAAGATTAACAGAAAAGCAAAAAGATTATAGTATGGTTGCACAGCAGAGTTTGTATTGCAAAGCATCAGCCAGTAAGTCATGGGGCCAAATGGAGATTCAAATTTACCAGAGTCAAACATTCAGCTCTCATGTTGAGAGTGTATCCTGTATGACAGAGAAAGTGTGCATATGTGATTTGTGTGTCAAATCTCTCTTCCCATGTTTAAGTGTCTTAATAAAGAAAGGAAGGATTAGAATTCCCACATCAGGCATGAAAGGCATGAAAGGTGTAAAAATACACATAAAACCCTTAAATTTTATTTATCCTTTTCTAGCTCATGTTCTTGGAAGGGATTTTTATCTTCGTAGTCATTATTGAATTAGCATGAGAGAGTAGGAGAGAGCTGTATACACCATTAGAAGGCAAATAAGGAGGATACCAAAAAAGATTTAATGAAAGAAAAATAGGGAGATGTTGGGGGGGGGTGAGGGGGGGAGGGAAGAGAAAGAGTACTATATGTGTGGAAACAATTGCTGTTGAAGTTTTCTTCTCATGATCTAGACTACAGGCATCTAAGCAAGCACAGTCCTCATTCCCCACTTCTTCCAGACATTTAGGTGCTTATATTCTGTGAATTTGATTTTATTTTGATGAGACCTTGGGTGAAAGGTTAGTACTTTCCTCCTAAGGTACACTTGATCTCTATTTATTTAGTTCATGTCTGTCTGATTTTGTGCTTGGGTATGCTGACATGGCTAATGTGAATGCTCAAAAAATGCAACAGCTCAGTTTGACAGAGAAGTTTTTATTCACATGTATGGAAAGAGAAACAGGTATGCAGGTACCATGCAAACCTGTGTCACTGCCCAGCATTGCCTTCAGATTGCCTAGAAGTGCCCTAGCCCCCCACATCTGGTAGCTGACTGCAAGTTTTCATCTACTAGATTATCTAGGGACATAGTTTATCTTTGTAATTCCTATTTCCCAGAAAATTATGGTCAGTCACTGAAATACCAGATTCACATTTCTTGGGAGAATCACTAAACTTCACAAAAATTTGGATAGTTCAGGCATTCTTGAGGTTTCGTGTAGAATCAGCATCTGTGGTTGTGCTGATCAGAAGATAGGGAAGCACTGTCCAGGGTGCTTTTCCAGGGTGTCCTCCTGATGAGCAATAGAAACTGAGAGTCTAGCACTTAGATTCTGGCACATGGACATCCTAAATTTTCTTTTTCATGAGTATGTTTTGGAAGAGTTTGGAAGAGAATAATCAGATTTTCCTCCCAGTGAAATGATTCTTCTCTGTGAAGTGATTGAATTCAAAATCAGAATATTTTGACAGCAATCTGAGATTACCACAGTGTATGTAATGGAAATGTCCCTGTTTTAAAAATCCAGAAAGCTGAAAGCTGAATTTGATGATTTGGGATACATCACCTGCTCCCATACCTGTGTGCTTAACATTCCAATAGGAAACTTAATACAGCTATATATTATTAGGAAGTGTGTATTTTTCTATTGTGACCACTGAAAAATGCTCTTTCTTTTTCTTTTTTTTTTTTTTTTTTTTTTTTTTTTTTTTTTGAGTGCACTTTGTGTACATTTATCTGGAGTATTTACATTTTTTGGCAGAGTGAGACAAGTTAGATATATCAAGTCAGATATATCACACACATCAAGCTTGGTCCTGTATATTATCTTCTGGAGACAATGATGTATCTGCTTCAATTCTTGATCTTAGTTGTCTTTGAGGATTTTGAGGGCAACATTCAGGACACAGATGAATTCACTGTACTGTATCACCTGGATTTCAAAATGTCTAAAATCAGTTTCCAGTTCGGAAGTCTTTTACTTTAAAACTGTTAGCACAGTACTTTCAGAAGTTGTTCCTTGAAAGCAAAGAGTGTTTCCTGCTGCTTTAATTAAAGGGTTTCCTTATGTTTTTTATTAATGAATTTCAACTCAGTTCCTTGACACATGATGTAGTGCTTTACTGAATGCAATTATCAAAGAATAGGCGTTTCCAAAAGGAAGTACTGTGCTTATTCAGTTCTGATAACCTAGAATCATAATTAACTGAATAGATCAAGAAATAGCTTAGAACTGCAGTCTACTCATGCTGCACTTGACTAATCTGTATGGAGTTAATTCATTTTAATAGCTGCCATTTAAAACACTGGAATTCATAGAGGGAGGAGAAAAGGGCATACAGCCACCACTGCACATAGCAACTGCTGGCCTTTCTCTTCTCTTCTCTCCTGCTTCCATTCTCATGTGTTCCCCCACTCATCTAACATAAACTGCACACATCTTGAAAGAGAGGCTTCCTACACGTTCAGATACACCTGTCTGGAGCTGCCAAAAGTAGGATTGCAATTACATGAACACATTGGAAGGTAGTTTTGTGGCCAGATAAACGTTTCTGTTGTTGATAGTTCAGCTTATCAAGGTTTGACCCCTGTACTACAGTGGCAATCCTACCATCAGTGTTTTTAAGGCCAAAGCCAAAAGCTGCACGGAGCATATCAACTTTATCAAGTACTGCTGTGCATCATAGAGTGTGGGTTAGTCTGAATATTTTAAGGTATTTGGGTGACTAGACTATTTTCATTTGTTTTCAGCTAAAGCCTGGATTTTATCTTGTCAGGTTGGGGACATTTCATTTTTTATTTATTTCTCAACTCAAAAATTAAATGGTTTAAATTAGATAAGCCATTTCTTAAATTAAGCAGTCAAACAGATAAAGTCTGTCCTGACTTTTTTTTTTTTTAATGGTAAAGATACTTTGTATAATTCATATGGAAAATAAAATCTCATTAGAATCTTTATAGTCAATTTTTTAAGGAGAATTTATTTTAACACAGGAAATTGGTATTTTGTGGCTTTTAAATAATATGGTATTTAGGTGACTATAAAAAATAATACTTGAGCACTTGGTTTGTTCTCCTGCTATTTTTTGTAGTAAAAGAAACATTTTATCCTTTATATTTATAATGACGTTTTACTCTCTTTAGCACAAAAAAATCACTAAAACTTTATTTGAAATAATAATAAAAACCCACTCTATTTGCCATGCATTTCCTCTAACTGAAGTATCTTAGTCTATGAGGAAAGAAATTAAGCAAGTCTGCAGTAAAAAGATGTTGATTTCATTGACTTTGAATTTTGTCTTTTGTGCTCGTCATTGATGTCAGAATAACAACTACCATACTGCTAGCAGAAACATTCTTATTATCTTTTGTCCAACAGATCAAAAGACCCAATATAATATCAATCAAGTTCAATCTTACCTACTCTCATAACTGCATTGCTCCAAAGAAATGTGCTAAGGTGACATAAGTTACAGTGGACTAAAGCTATTATTTCTGATATTCATTCTACTCACTTTTGTTTCAATATCCCCACCAAAAAACCCCAAACAAACAATCAAACAAACAAAACAAAACAAAACAAACCCCCACAGTATAATAATACTACTAAGTTTGTGTGAAACTCACTGTCATCTTGTTTCAGATAAAATCAGAAAATTAGAAATAACAGGTTTTTTACTCTGAAATGGGTCACTGGTAAACTAAGAGAGCAACAGCAAGTTTCTGATAAACTGTGCATATTTGGACCAGCAGAATTTTACATTGTTCAACCTACTTTAGGAAATTAAATATCCTCTAAACATTTTTGCTCTCCCCCTTCTTTCTCTCTCTCTTTTTTGTTTTCCCCTCTTCTAGAAAACCGTAGGCCTTAGTCTACATTTCCATTAGAAAACGATCTTTGACATCTTTTCATTTGCATCATTCCAATCAATGCAGTTCAGAGCTCAGCTATTCATTCAAGTAAGGTTTCACACCTCTCTAAAGTATGGTAAGGCCACATACAGCCCCATATAAGGTTTGGTCAGATGTTCTTTCCAGTAACTTTGAGATTAAGTTCTGTTTGGTTCTAATAAAAAAGACAAAATAACATTAATTAGTAGATTTTGGCCCATAAGGCCCATTCACTATTTTTTGGACTAAAAGCTGCTATGCAGAGAAGATTAATACTCAGAGACTTGCCATGTGAGTTCAAATTTCCCCTTGCAAAGGAAGTTTTCTGGTGCTATTCTAGTATTTGTATAATGCAGGTTCTAGCTTGCTGTTAATGAGACTAAGAATGTAAGTAATCTCCATTAGAAAATGGACAACATCATAAAATCAGATGCATAAAATGACTGTGACTACTTCATTTAGAATTGTTGAGTTTTCTGAATTTCTACATGGTAGGCCATGAAATTGCCACATAAAAGAAATTAAATAAAAACAAAAGGAAGGAACCATAGGTGGAAATAAATAAAGAGAAGAAACAGAAGAACAGAGTGGAAATTTTAGAAATCACATCTCTCCCTTACCCCAAAGTTCCTGAAAGGACTTGATCTAGGAAGAAGGTTTAGAATTTAAATGTGAACTGCATGGGACTGAAATGGGAATGAATGCTATGTTGAAATAAAGTTCATCTGAATTCTTGTATTTGTCTCGGTCCAAAGATGTTAAGTGAAAGAAATCCAGGTTTCCAAAATCAAAGACAATCCCTAACTAAATAAAAAAAGAAATGTCACTGATCTTAGAGTCTCTCTAAAAGCTGGCAGAATTGCCATGCTGTTCTTTACTTAATAATTGAGATTTTTAAACAAAGAGTAAATTTTTTTTTTTAAAAAAAAAAAAAGGAATGTAATTATAGTTTACTAGTAA